GCCTGCGCCCTGCGCCCGCAGGTAGCGCCGCACCGGCTCAGGGTCGGGGTAGAAGGCGGCGTCGGCCGCGTTCATGTTGGAGATGACGGAGCTGATGCTGCCTGTGATGGTGGCAAAGCCCAGCACAGCCAGGAGGAAGCCGGTGGTGACAAAGAGGAACTCCTCCTCACGCCGGGGCTCTGGCGTGTCACCCACGGTGGTGAGGATGAGGGTGGAGAAGTAGAAGCTATGGAGGTACTGCCGCAGCGGGCGGGCGAAGCCGGGGCGGCTGGCGTTGGGGCAGACCCAGGTGTCGGTGCCCAGCCCCAGCCAGGCCGAGAGGGCGAAGTAGAGGCAGCCGTGCCAGTCGATGGTGATGAAGATGTAGAGCATCAGCTTGGTGACGCGGAAGGCGTTGGGGTGGGCTGTGCGCGTCTCCCAGCGGTCAAAGGCCTCAAAGAGCCGCGGCGTCCGCAGGCAGCGGTTGGCACGCACCACCGGCACCCCTGTCCCCAGGCGCAGGTAGAGCAGGTCGGTGGGCAGCACCGCAGCCACGTCCCAGGGGAACGATGGGGAGCGCAGGTAGCGCCGCCGGATCCGGCCACAGTCCCGCACCAGGATGCCATCCTCCAGGAAGCCTGGGGGCAGTGGGTCAGGACCGGGATTGCTGCCGGAGCTCCTTGGTGGGGGGCGCGCTGGCACAGAGGGGTCTTCCAGCGCGGGGGGGCCCCGAGTGAGGTACGACGGGCTCGGGGTGACGCAGGGCTTTCCCATGCCGGGAGGAGGTTGGTGGTGCAGGACCGGGTGGGTGCCTGGGACGGGGTGCAGGGGGGTCCCTGGGCCTGATTCTCCCGGAAGGGACCCCAGGAAGGGCGTCGTGTGGGACATCGCTGTGGGCTGGGGGTCCCCTGGGCTGCCCGTGGGGCTGAGGGGCTCGGCGGTGGGTGCTGGGACCCCACAGTGCCCACTCAGGCCCACCGCCCCGTGCCGGGCTGGCTGGTGGGGTGACGGCCGTGCCTGCCGGGTGGGGGGTGTGTGTGCACCCGACAGTCTGACGTGTGGATGGGTGCATGCATGCGTGTGTGCGTGCATGCAGACATGGGCATGCACACGTGTGTGCACGTGATGCATGGCTGTTTGCACGTAGCTGTGAGTGCACACATGCGCCTGTGCACACGTGTGCACATCAACACGTCCGTGCACACAGGTGAGCGTGCCTCTGTGTGTGTAACCGTGGGCAGGCGTGGGGCAGGCAGGGTGCGGGCTTGGGGTAGGTGTGGGGCAGGTGGGGGGCTGGGGCGAGGCCGGGGCGTGGCAGGGGCACGCCGGGGCGCGGGCACCGACCGGTGTGGAGGCGCACGGCGATGTCCAGCAGGTAGAGTGCGTCGCAGAGGTAGTCCAGGCTCAGCCACAGCACCGTGTGCTGCTCCTGCAGCTCGGGGAAGCAGGACCTGGCGGCGCGGGTGGCATTACCAGGGCTGGGACGGTGCCGACGGGTGCCAGGACACCCCGTGCCCCCACCCCGGTCCCCGGGGCCCACCCTCACCGAAGGCGCCGGGGGCCTTTGGCAGCAGCGCCCGCCCCGCGCCTGCCTGGGCACCTGCAGACGAGGACGACCCAGTTGTAGAGGATGGGCAGCACCATGATGCTGATCCACCAGTAGTACCAGTCTCCGGAGGGGTCCAGGATCCAGGTCCGGGGGGTGGTGGTGCTGCTGGGGAGGTGGAGGGACCTCAGGGCCGCCCCATCCTGGCTGGCTGCAACCCTGCCTGGCTGTGCTGGCCCCCGGCCCCCACCAGCACCGCACTGTGTCCCTGCTTGCCGGTGGCTTCTTGGCTCAGCTGGCCCTCGTCGTGGCACAGGGTGCTCTGCGCCCGCAGCCCCCATGGGGGTGAGGGGGGTCCCTGCACACGCTCCCACCCCAGGCCCCACCGTGCCGCACTCACCCCCAGGCGCGTCCGGTGCCGGCGCCAGGCTCAGCCGTGGCGATGAGCCCGGTGGTTCTGTGCGGCTGGGGCCGAGCCCAGCGGCGGGACAGCAGGGAGCTGAGGCTGTGCATCCTGCACTGCAGGTGCGGGTGCTGGTGAGGGTCCTGCGCCCGTCCCCGGGCACCCAGTGCGTGCTGCAGCCCAGCCGTGGCACCGAGTGCGGTCCCTCGGCAGGACCCGGCCGCATGGCTCCGCCAGCACCGGGCGCATCCTGGCAACGCGGGGCTCCCCAGGGCGCTCGCCGGCCCGCTGGGACGCCAGGGCCGCAGACAGCCGCGTCTCCAGCCCCACCGGGCACGCCGGGGCACGGAGCCGTCACCTGGCTCTGCCGGGAAACGTGGCAGATGGGTGCGGGGATGCCCGCGGGCTGGTGCGGGAGCCCCCGGAAACGTCCGCCTGTTACCAACGTTATTCTCATCCTGAATCCAAATCGCAGCACCATGCCAGCTACGAGGGAGAAAATTAACTCCATCCCAGCCGAAACCGGGACAGCATCCACCCCTCGTTCCACGCCCCCTACGCCAGGCCAGGTCCCACGCTTTCCAGTACGTCCCAGTGAATCCCCTCTCCTCTCTTCTGATCTCCCGCGCAGGTATCGCGCCCTTGGTCCGCGGGCCGTCCCTCTGCGACGTCCCTTGGGCTCATTCAGCCCGCGGCTCTGGGCTCCGTCCGCCACAACAGCCCTTCGGGGTGTGCGGCGTCGGGTTGTTGCACGCCGAGGCCAGCTCCGGTTCCACCACCGCTGCGCTTCGCCCGGTTTCATCAGAGGTCACTCTTCGTAAATCTGGGTGATTCTTACTGCGACGCCGTTGGTAGGGCAGAGAGCCGCCGCTGCGGTGATGACAGGCAGGACGGGCCGCAATTAACATCGTGTTAGCTGCTGCAGGAGTGCCCGGGGCGGGGGGTACCCGATGCAGGGGTGCCGGGTGCAGTTGTATTTGGTAAGGGGTAGCCGGTACAGGGGTACCCGGTGCAGGAGTACCCGGTACAGGCGTACCCGGTGCAGCTGTACCCGGTGCAAGGGTACCCGGTACAGGGGATGCCCGGTGCAGTTGTACCTGGTGTGGGGATACCTGGTACAGGGGTGCTCGGTGCAGGGGGTACCCGGTGAAGGAGTAGCCGGTGTGGGGGTGCCCGGTACGGGGGTGCCCAGTGCGGGGGGTGCCTGGTACAGGAGTACCTGGTGCAGTTGTACTTGGTGTGGGGGGTACCCGGCACAGGGGATGCCCGGTGCAGTTTTACCCGATGCAGGGGTGCCCAGTGCGGGGGTGCCTGGTGCGGGGGTAGCCGGTGCGGTTGTACCCCGCGCGGGGGGGGCCCGGG